TATTCACTTACGTATCTTGTGGTCATGGGTGGGAATTAGGTGTAGAAAAAGGCAGGAATCAGGGAAACTGATCCATGGTTTGGTTGACACTTTGACAATGCTCCAGACGTTCTCCATTTCACTCCATAATGATCAGGATCGGCCAATCTCTCCTTATTGAAAGCAAAATGTGTCAGCAAGACCTCCTTTTAAGAAAGAAAGAAAAGAGCCGTAACCCGAAATGACCCTATAATATCTGTCAGTTTAGGAATCTGAAGGTGAATAAGGATGTGGGCATTTCTGATGAAAGCAGGGAGCCATGGGGCTGGTGGCCGGGAACAAGTGACTGAATTGAGTGATGGTCTCAGAAGGAGTTTGTGTTCCAGCTGTATCCTGAAGGATTGGCAGCGAACTTCTCTAGTGAGAAGTTAGTTGTCAGCACTGAGCTTAACAGAGTGGTTCAACAACCCCACGCAGTCAACTTTCAGCTGTTCACTGAAGAGTGAAAATAAGTGTGAGAGGCTAGCACTGTGTCACAATTACAGTCACTAGGAAACATTAGACGTAAACAGAGCCTATATAATCGCTGGGAGGTTCTCTCAGTGCATCACAGAGCTTCATCTTTCAGCATCCTAGTAGGAAGATCACTCCTGATTGGTGGAAGAAGATGTGCTGAGCCTACCAATAGTTCAGGGTGCTGCCTCTCACAGCCTGTCCCCTACAATACCCTCTTAGCTACACAGCCTCTTTGCAGAACTGACTCTCAAGGATGGTATTTCCTGAGAGGTATGCACTTCAATAAAGGAAAAAGGAAGGGAGGACTCATTAGACTAAATACTGCAAAAAGAGTAGAGCCCAAGGAAGGTGTTAATATGCAAATGCCTGTCACTGATGTCTGGGACCATTACCCTTTTTCACAAAGTGGCTTAGCCTGAATGAATAGAGTACAGACGTTTAAGGACAAGATTCAATTAGTAAAAAAAGGAAATATAGTACTTTTAACCTTTTATCTGCCTTAAAATACAATGTGATGTGTTTTTTTTCCAAGAATGAAAAGTTCTCATCTGAAGTTTTAAGTAAACTCTAACACTGATGCAAAGCATTTGACTTCTTCTTCTTCTTTTTTTTTTTTCATTTTCCTCTTTTTTTTTTTTTCATTTTCCCTTGGATTTATTGGACATGTCTCAGTTAATTGAAGACGCCAGAGCAAACAAACAAAAAGCACCAAGGCTATGTTACTTTTGTTGTTGTTTTGTATTAGGTGGTGTTAAACAAAAACAAGTGAAAATATTTCTTTCTGATCTTCTTTAGTGGAGTACTATACAGGACAGCAGGCAAAAAGCTTCAGAAATTGTTCTGTCTTTGCTTAGTGAACTCAACTACCGAAGTAGTTTTTTTGGGGGGGCAAATAACTTTCAAAGAAAGAGTGCATTGGTTTGCTTTTAAAAGCATTTTATGTATAGGAAAAGGCAAACATGATGGGCATTACCTCATTACTATGGTTATAATACTAATATGTGATATAATCACAGGCAAAAATATTTATTTGCCAAACTTCAACTTATCAAAATATGGCAATCTTGATTCTTAATCAGCCTTAACTTTCTAAGATTGGTTGAACCTGCTTATGTTGACTTATTTGTTGTGAATTTAAAGTTGATTAGTCCTTTTATCCTTCACATTAACAAATGGTCGGCTGTAAAAGTTCAAATTTTCCAGTGTAAACTTGGGGTTGAAGTGAGTGATTAAAAAATAGCTACTTAAATTAATAAGCAATCTCTGTCATAAGCAACAGATATAAAAAGACTTACAAATAGCTTCTATCATGTTTTACATAGTTGTATTAAGAGACTTAGAGACTTTATAATCCATTAAATCCGTCCAGACTCTGTTTATAAACTGCCCAATTTTGTTTTTCTTATGTAAAAACATTCATACATACTAAAAAGAAAGATTTTCATTTATGGCCCAACTCTACACAAAATTACTGATTTTTTTCTATGTCTTTTGATGATTTTGTTATAGAAGAGAATGAGATTTGAACCCATCATAACTTATAGCAGAATATATTCTAAAAATATTTGTCAATAAGTGTTTTTAATGAAAAAAGTGTATATATTTGCCTGAAAATGCAAATTTACAGTCTATAGGACAAACTGAGAATTTGCTATAAGTAAAAAATTTCCACAAGCTAAAAGTAGAAAGCCTGAAACTTCTTAGAATTAGCAACTTCAATAAGAAATACAAATGGTATTATTTTGAACATTAAAAAAAAGGATATCATATTTTAAATTCTAATTTCATAGAGTAATAATTATGAGATCTTTCTATTGTTTATTTGACATATTTTTGAATTTTACCCTTAAAACATAACATTTTTGCATTTTGAACTGTGTATTAAGTTAAAAGTGTTTAATGATATCTCAAGCTATTTTATTTTTATTATTTCGATAAAGTTCAATTTACATATGAAACTATTCAGAGGAAAGATACTTTTATTTTTCCAAGAAATTCCAGTTATTTTCACTCACTGGATAATTAGTAGATATTCTGAATACTTTGTAACTTCAGAGATAAAACTTGATTTTATAACTTTTAAATAATATTCAATGTATTTACTATAGTCTTATAACTATTAATACAGCATTTTCTCATGAATTAGAAGTTATTTATAAAATTACTCTTAAAATAAAACTCAGGATCAATGACATTGACTATTGAGGAGATGATCAAAATATACAATCATTTTTATAGACTACCCACACATAAAAATAAAAAAAAATATTTAAAAAAATAAGTAATTTTCTTGATACTACTGCATAGCTTTTATCTACATATTCCTTTTGGCAATTTCAAAAATCTACAATTTTCCATTCTGCAATGTCTTATATGCAAAGAGAAATGTCAGTTGACTTGTCATTATTTCTGTTATGAATAGCACAATCCTGTGATATTTATTAATGCTATACAACATTGCATAATAGCTTATAGAGTTTAATGGCAAGGAATAAAGTTTAGCTCCCACACAGTCTCATTGTTTTTCCTTAGACTAACCCAAATAACCATTGTGTTTGCAATTGTTTACTAGATTAATATATTTGTTTATATACTTAGGTTTTGTAGTTGTCTCCAAACTTTCTTTGCCCTACTTATATGTTTAAAAACTTTTCCCCCAACTATTAAAATAAATCTTGCATATGTATTTAATACGGAACTTAAATATATACTCAAGTCACTTTTAATATGGAATTTGTGATTGCATTTGGAATCTTACAAATCATTACTATTTCATTCATTACATTCAATTGTTAGTCAGCATTTTTGTATCTTGTATTAACATTTTGTTTATTTGACTGGCTGAGAAATTCAAAAAGAAAGAGTGTTTGATTTGAGGTCATACAGTGAGTCAATATTGTAGTGAAGATAACTTGACTCAAGACATCTTCCTTTAAAAATTTAAGTACTAAGTTAGGGAATACATAGAAATTGGTATAGTAGTATTCATACTGATAAAGAGATAGTGTTAGTGTCATGTATTATTGGAAGGCACTCCACTTTGCTACTTGTCTCCAGATGTGGAGAAATAATGCAGGATTCACTGAGTAATTTGAACTCATATTTATTTTATTTGTTGTCCTCCAGTATGCAATTCATCAGTAATTTCTGTCTGGCCTAAACTTTCTGCAGACTGCCCTTTATTTTTGATATATTAAGTACCAGTTTTGTAGGAAATTGTTATTTTACTAATTGCTTCTTAACATATTTGTTATTGAGTTCATTTAGATTTAGTGAATGACCTCAATTGCAAGACATATTCTATGCACCATGGACTCTGTGCTGAGCATTAAGTACATAAATATTATGTGCAGATGTCTACAGGGATGCTCCTTTTCATTTTCATTTTGCATGTGTTGAAAAAAATCACATATTTTGACATGTTTGCAGGTTTCTTGTCACTCAGGACATTTTTATATGTATTAGTTTTTGAGAAGTGTGAAAAAATTCTCAGTTTTTTCCTTTGTGTATGCAGGAACTCATTAAATTAAATTTGTCTTTGAAATATACTATGTGGCCTTTGTTCAACTTATCATTATCTAATATAGCTTATTATAATTCATGTCATTCCCTTACACATCGCTGTATTTCCCAGGGAATATGACTTAAAAGGTTTCTCCAGTATTGAAACCCACTTATGTGGCACCTTTCATATTGTGCATAAGATTAAAGAGATCAGTTGTTGAATTAGTGTTAATGAAAAATTATCATTGTTAAATTAATATCTTTACGAAAGGTAAAGAGTAAAGGTGCATTAGTATATCCCTATTTTATAAACTTGCTCACTTAATTAGTTCAGTTATACCTTCTTCCAAGTTTCTTTTAAACTATTATTCATTCAGGATAAAGACTATCTTATGTTACTTTTCTGAACTTAAGGCATCATATAACTTCCCTATCCTGCTTTGTTTATTCTAACCAAACTTTATGACATAATTTCCATACTATTCAAGTAAGGGAAATACCATAATTGAATTATTGACATTATGACCTATTCAAAAATGTAAGCAGACTTTTCAGACAAATAATGTCAAGAAATACCCCATTTCCAACATACCTTTTTTAGTTCATCAATTTTTGTAATTGGGATATTTTGATAGCTGAATTTAAATAGTGACATAATATCTTGTCTTCCCCTCTCAGTTCTAAAACAGTATTACCTAGGTTATTAATGACTGTAATTACATTTGTACTGAAAATATAAATCAAAGACACCTTGGGGAC